GAGCCATAACGTCCCCATCGGCCCTGCCCTGAGTGTGACAGTGGCGGCGCCCCAACCCCCTGATCTGCCCTGCCCTGAGTGTGACAGGGGGCGGTGCGCCAACTCCCCTATCGGCCCTACTCTGTGAGTGACAGGGGGGAGCTCCTCAACCCCCTGATCGGCCCTGCTCTGTGCATGACAGGGGGGAGCTCCCCAATGCCTTGATTGACCCTGCTCTGTGCGTGACAGGGTACAGAGCCCCAACCCCCCTGATGGGCCCTGCTCTGTGCGTGACAGGGGGTGGTGCCGCAACCTCCCCATCGAACCTGCCTTGAGTGTGACGGGGCGGTGCCCCAACCCCCCAATCGGCCCTACCCTGAGCGTGACTGAGGGTGGCATCGCAACCTCCCAATCTGCCCTGCTCTGTGCATGACAGGGGGCGGCGCCCCAACTCCCCAATCGGCCCTGCTCTGAGCCCGACCAGGGGCTGCACCTAGGGATTGGGCCTGCCCTCTGCCACCCGGGAGCAGGCCTAAGCCAGCAGGTCGTTATCTCCCGAGGGGTCCCAGACTGCGAGAGGGCACAGGCCGGGCTGAGGGACCCCCCTCTCCCCCCCCCCCCCCGAGTGCACAAATTTTTGTGCACGGGCCTCTAGTCTATAATAATAAAATGGTAATATGCTAATTAGATTGGACAGCCAAAGGACATTCCAGATGTCCTGTGGTGGCGGGGGCTGAGGCAGAGGTGGTTAGGGGTGATCAGGCAGGCAGGCAAGTGGTTAGGTGCGATCAGGCAGACAGGTGAGTGGTTAGGGGTGATGAGGCAGGCAGGCAGACAGGCAGGCGAGTGGTTAGGGGCGATCAGGAAGGCAGGCAGAGTGGTTAGGGGCGATCAGGCAGGCAGGCAGGCAAGTGGTTAGGGGTGATCAGGCAGGCAGGCAGAGCGGTTAGGGGTGATGAGGCAGGCAGGCGAGTGGTTAGGGGTGATGAGGCAGGCAGGCAGGTGAGCGGTTGGGAGCCAGTGGTCCCAGATTGTGAGAAAGATGTCCGACTGCCAGTTTAGGCTTGATCCCACATCAGGCCTAAACTGGCAATCGGACATCCCCCAAGGGGTCCCAGATTATGAGAGGGTACAGGCTGGGTTGAGGGGACCCCTCCCCTGTGCACGAATTTCATGCACCAGGCCTCTAGCAAGAGTATAAGAAAATGAGTCAACCCTATTTATTTGGCATTCAAGGCTCTTCATGATCTGGCTCCAACTGAACTATTGTTCTCTACACACTTTTTATACCCCAGTCATTTCTGTGCCTGGAATGTCTTCCTTCCTATATCTACCTGACAAAATCTTATTTCTCTTGTAAGGCCCATCACAAATATTAGCACTTTCATAATATTTAACTGGATTTCTTAACAAGATTTGATGTCTCTGCTCACTAAATCCCATATCACTTTCTGAACTTGTCATGTGGAATATACCACATTTTATTTTTATCATCTCTTTTTGGTATTTTAATTATTTCTGAAAAGCATTTTCCGTCCTACTAGACTACAAATTCCTGAAGAAGAGGGATCATATCTTATTAGTTTTAGGTGCTCAAAGCATAACACAATGACTTATACAGGAGATTTTTTTTGGAGATAATGTTGGATTTATTGTATAAGGTAGAAACAGATTTATGTGAAATTGTGAGTCATCTGTTTTGTACCAAACTCTTCTTGGCATAAACTGACCCTTTTTCTGAAACTATGATAAGGGAATATGATTATTGATTTTCCAAATAACTTTATTGAGATAAGATTTTCCCAGAAAGTTAAAACCCTGGCGGAAGAAAATATCACTCAAGATTTTCTTCAATTGGAATTGTGATTATTTGGCACGTTTTGTGTTATGCAGAGGTTAGAGTTGGGATTATTGCCTCCACTGCAATAAATTCTCAATTCAATTCAGGCAGCAAATGCACAAGGAGCAACAGCCGAATGCAAGACAACGCTCCAAGCATCTGAGCAGCGATCTGCTACCCTTGAAGGACTGCAGTAAAACCGCAGATGGAGGGCATGACTTACACCTGGACTAGCTGAGCTCTACCATCAGCCGCTGCCTATGGGAAACCAAGAGTAGAAATTGATAGCACTGCTAATCTGGTGGCTTCAGGTGGCTGACTACAAGGAAAGTGTGGTCCCATGAATGTCTGGGGCTCTAAAGAGTTATTTTAGCAACCCCTTTTCTCCTGTTTGTGTGCATGTGTGGACGGCATGGTGGAGCTGAAGACTGGGGTTGACAAGGGTTGTCTTAATGTGGGAACAGGATATGATCTCTCTCCTCCTCAATACAATTTACATATTTTGGGGGATTTATTTCAAGCCATTTGTGTTCACTACACTAATTTATCTCTGTCATTATTTTGGAGGAAAACATGTGTGCAATGATGTGTAGTTAATTCTTGATCATTCTTTCAACTGTTCATTGCAGTTTACTGCAGATTATACCTACACAGTGTTATTTTGAAGTGATAATTAGAAACGTACGCAGATATTTTCAAATTAGTGTGGAATTCTGCAATGTGTGACTGTCTTCTTGAAATCTTTAGGAAAGATTTTGTCTATTTTAATGAGATTTATAGGTCATATTTTAATACATTGTTTGTTTGGGCTTCATTCTAGTTCATCATCTTAAAAACAGTAATGTAGGGCTTTCAAGCTCATAAATCAGTTTTCTTTTTTTTTTTTAAATATATTTTATTGATTTTTTACAGAGAGGAAGGGAGAGAGAGAGTTAGAAACATCGATGAGAGAGAAACATCGATCAGCTGCCTCCTGCACATCTCCCACTGGGGATATGCCCGCAACCCAGGCACATGCCCCCGACCGGAATCGAACCCGGGACCCTTCAGTCCGCAGGCCGATGCTCTATCCACTGAGCCAAACCGGTTTCGGCAGTTACTTTTCAAATGAACAAAAAGTAACATATCTCTTGGCTAGTGAAAACAGCAAATTAGTTTTTTGTTGTTCTTTGTTTGACTAGTCTAGAATTTAACAAACATTCTGTAAGAAGCTATAACAAAAATAGGAGAAACACATATACCTCCATCACTCCCTCCCCTTCTTCTTCAATCCCCTTTTTTGTGTGTTAATCCTCACCCGAGGATATTTTTTCCATTGATTTTTTTTTAGAGAGTGGAAGGGAAGGGGAGAGACACGCAGAGAGAAGTATTGATGTGAGAGGGACACATCAATTGGTTGTCTCCTGTACAAGCCTCAAGCCAGGGCTGGGGATGGAGTCTGCAACTCAGGTACATGCCCTTGATGGAAATCGAACTTGAGACCCTTCAGTCTGTGGGCTGATGCTCTAACCACTAAGCCAAACCAGCTAGGGCTCCCCTTCTTTTTCTTTTATTTCTTTTTTATTTGCTGATTTTAGAGAGAGAGGAAGGAAGAGAGAAACATCGTTTTGTTGTTCCATTTAGTTATCCATTCATTGGTTGATCCTTTTTGTGCCCTGACCAGGGATCAAACCTGCAACCTTGGTGTATCCGGACAATGCTCTAACCAACTGAGTTACCTGACCAGGGCACTCCCTCCCCTTCTTATTAGTGAATTTGCTTTATACATTTTAGTGCCCTCTATATGAGGAAAAGCAGTAATTGCATAACCAATTACACGTGTTCATTAATATGTTACAGATATTAAAGTTTGTGTATTTTCCTAGTAGCATGGTACTACCTAGATAACCACCCTTCTACCATTCATTCAATAAATACAAGTTGAGGGGCGATGTGGGACCAGGGCTCTGCTAGCTATTAGAAACATGAGGAAGCAGGGAGCATGACTCCTGCTCTGTGAGGCTTACAACCCAGCTAAGAAGACACACAGGAAAAGTCATTACAGGTGTTTTGAAGGGAAAGGGCAGAGTGCAACAGAAGATAAAGGTCAATTATCCAGGCTGGCTCACCCTGATTTCCTGATTTTTCTTACATTTCGAATTGAAGAGAGAGAAATGAGGATAGAAGCTACAGTAAATGATGGTATCTTTCAGGAAGAACATTATTCAGTCAAATAATTGAGGTTTGTTCTCAGTCCACTTCCCTGGAAGGTTTGCTTGTGTGTTCATGGTACCCCCACCCCACCCGACCCCACCCCACCTTACACCCAAATCCTGAAAGAGATGACAATGTGGAGATGATATCCATTCAGTTTTTCACCTTTTAAAGAGTAAGAACTGGTTGACGAGCTCCTTCTGAAGAATGGATAATTAGAGGAAAGAGCAAGATAGAAAGCCATGGCCGCGTGAGGAGCGGAGTTCAGGGTCGAATTCCTGTTGCCTTATCAGTCTCCCATTGTACCTGCAGTGAGAGCTGATAATATGAAATGAGTGCAGAGCAGGGAAACTGGAGCGCCTAGGCTATTCTACACTGACCTGGAAAATGGCAGGACAGGTTAGGGAATAGGGGGCGGGGGCGGGGGCGGGGGCGGGGAAGAGAAGTTGGCAATTGTAGTTCTTTGGGAAGTCTCAATGCTTTGCGGCTATTGAGATTTCCGCTCCCGGCCCCCCCCCCCCGCCCCCCGCCCCAACCTCCCGCAGAGCTTCACCAATTCCCTGAGGAAGGATGGCTTGCGAATGAGGGTGAGGGGGATTCAGGACGAGGATCTTAACTTGAGATAGGCATCTGCCCATGTCACAGTTTCAAAGATGCTGATGGTCCAGACCATTGTGGGGCAATGATCTCAGCGTGGCTCCTCACCTTGCCCAAAGCTGCATTAAAAAATGAGAAGGCAGGATCCCGCGCTCGGGCTAACCTACGCTGTTGGTTGGCGGAGCGCAGGAGGCGCTAGTGTGTGTGTGTGTGGTGTGTGTGTGGTCGCCCCCCGCGCCGCAAGCCCGGCTGGCAGCACGCACCCCGCCCGCGCCCTGCGCTTTCCCGGAGCCCGCGGGGCGCGTGCGCGCACGGCCCAAACGCGTGCTCCTCGCGCGCGCCCTCCCCCGTCTCCCTCCGCCAACCCCACGCGCCGGCCCGGGCGCCCGCCCTCCTCGCGCTCCCACCGCGGGAGCGCCGCTCAGCTGACCTACGGGCGCCAGACGCCGGGCTCCCGGCGGGCCAGCGCGGCTGCAGCGGAGCGAGCCTCTCCCGCGGACACTCCCCCTGCGCGCCCCTCCCCCACCCGGACCGGCAGCGGCTCCGGCAGCGGCATCGGGACTGACCCGGCGCTGCTCCGGCGCCCCGAGAGGAGCGAGGCTGCGGTGACGAGCGGCGGCTGCGCGGTCATGGGCGCGCCGGTCTCGCCCTAGGACAGGCGCGCGGAGACCGCAGCGGAGCGGCAGCGAGCCTACGAGCGGCGGCGGCGGGCGCAGCGGGGCCGGGATGAGCGGGAGCGGCGCAGCGCCCGGCCCGGGCTCCTCCCCGGCTGCCTGCCGCTTCGCGCACTACTTCGTGCTGTGCGGGATCGACGCGGACAGCGGGCTGGAGCCCGACGAGCTGGCGGGTAAGGCCAGGCGGTGGCGGCGCCGCGGGGGACGCGCGGGAGGCGGGGTGCGGGCTCCAGACAAAGTCAGATGCCGGCAGCTCCCGCTCCCCGGCCGGACGGGCGCTCGGGCGGCGATTTACTGACATGGTTATTTATTTCGCGTGCGGGGTGTGTTCCTGAGCCCGCGGGCTTGTCTGCGGGGCGCGGGGTGATTAATAACGGGAGTGGGGGCCAGGCCGGGGCGAAGGTGGCCGGGAGGGCACGGCTCGTACCCGCACGCCGGTCCCTTTGCCCGCAGCTGCCAGCGGAGGCTGCCAGTGAGTCACCGGGCACGGCGACTCCCTGGCCTCGCTGCGATCCCGCGTCTCCCCCTCCCACCCTCCGTGCCCGGCCGCGAAGTTTCAGCCCCGGCACGTGACGCGGCGCTCGGCCCCCCTGGGGGAGGGGGCGTGGGAGCTGGCTGGGCTCCGGGCGAGCGCCGGCGGGAGGCTGGTTGGACTTCCTCCCAGAACGTTCCCGGTTCCGCGATGACGGCCAGCCACCTTCTGCAGTCCTGTCGATTTGGCAGTCACGGAGCTGGCGAGGACCTTTGAACGCTCGGGGCCGGCACGACGCTCTGTTGACACTGCGCATCCCGCTCCCGAGTTTCAGGAGTTGGATGTTTCCCCCTGTGCCGGGCGCACCGTGTGCTGCCGCCTGGGTTTCCCTGGAACGGGCTCCGGTGCCGCCTCTTGACTCATTGGATGGCGCAGTGCGGGGCTGAGCTGGGGAACTGACGCTGGGAAAAGGCGCCCTTAAAGGATGGATGGTTGGTGGGTGGGTGGGTGGGGAGGGGGGTAACCGGTGCGCAGTGTCGAGAGGAGGCCGGGGAGAGGTGACTGACTTCATTTTTCACGCCTCTTTCTGCTTGCTTTCTTGGATCTGAAGCTTGATTTTTTTTTTTTTTTTAATGGATGAGACAAGTGACATCTACCGCCTGAACTTTATCTGTGTCAATGTTAAACACTTAGGTCATAGCCTTTCGAGCAGCTTCCGTTGGATATTGCATTCCAATGTGTTGCGCGCGGTGTGTGCGTGTGTGTGTGTGTGTGTGTGTGTGTGTGTGTGTGTGTGTGTTCTGTTTTTCTTTTTGGGTGGGTGGGAGCCAGGAATAATAATACACTAAATAATAAACAATAGTAAACAAAACTGTTCAGCCTTAAGATACAGTACCCGTCAACCCACGTCTTAGCTAAGTGAGCATTTTTTAAAGTCATTTTCACAGCAAAACGTTTTCAACAAACACTCTTGTTTAGTTTTAGTTAATTTTTTTTTTTTTTTTTAAAGAGGATGAGTACCGTTTTTCTGTATGTATAATTAGGTAATCATGTTTTTTCTTCAACCAAGATTTCAGGTACATACTAAAAATGTCTTTGTTCAGGGATACAAAGTTAGAAAAAAATGTCTGCAGAGGTATTTGGAGAGATTCCTCTTTTGGGATTAGTGGAAGGATTATTTTATTTTCTAGAATCCCTTCTTCCCTAAACATACTAAACGTTTGTGGCACAAGGTCACTTGGAGGCCTTCTGTCAGTGGTGACTGGTAAAAGGAAAAAGCCTGTAATTTTTTTTCTTCCTCTGTCTCAAGTCTGTATGCCTAGTAAAGCTAAAACAACACCTGTAGGTGTGGCTCGGGACTCTTTAGGCATAGTGCTAAGACTTCCACAAAATTAAACAGTAAAAAAATAATTTTAATTCATTTTCAGACACAAACTGGCTTTTGCTTTTGCAACACTATGCATAAGTGTGGGTGATTAAGATTTCTGTTCCTTGCCGAAACCGGTTTGGCTCAGTGGATAGAGCGTCAGCCTGTGTGGACTGAAAGGTCCCAGGTTCGATTCCGGTCAAGGGCATGTACCTGGGTTGCGGGCACATCCCCAGTGGGGGATGTGCAGGAGGCGGCTGGTCGATGTTTCTCTCTCATCGATGTTTCTGACTATCTCTCTCCCTTCCTCTCTATAAAAAATCAATAAAATATATTAAAAAAAAAAAGATTTCTGTTCCTTATAATGCTTGGTGTTTTGAAGTAACAATTTTGCCTGATAACATTGCAGTATCAACAAATAGTTGAATGAAAGGATTTTGAAAGCCTTTAGGTGTAGATTTTTTTCTAGGTGTGTCCTAGGTATGGGAGACAGCTGTGAACAAAGCAGCCAAAAGTCCTTGCCATTATAGTGCTTACATTCTAGTGTATAAAATAATGAAAATATATAGTTTGCCAGATGTTAATGCTTGCTATGAGGAAAAATAAAGCAGAGATACAAGACTAGGCCAGTGCCAGCAGAATGTTGGGGTTGGTGGGGTTGCAATTTTAAATAAGGTGGTACAGAAGGCCTTACTGATAACTTGGCATTTGACAAGAACCCTTGAAGGATTCAAGGAAGCAAGCCACAGGGATTTTCTTGGAAAACAGTATTATAGGCAGAGGAAACAGCACCTTCAAATGGAGATAATCAAGCAGGCAAAGACATCTTTCAGGGGTCTAAATTTATCCATACTAATAAAAGGGTAATATGCTATTCGACCAGGAGACCTTCCGGGAGACCAGCCAGGGAGGGCAGTTGGGGGCCATGAGGCTGGTGGGGGGTGGGGGGGACAGTTGGGGGCGAGAAGGCCAGCAGGGGAGGCAGTTGGGGATGAGCAGGCCGGCAGGTAGAGTGGTTAGGGGTGATTGGGTAGGCAGGCAGGTGAGCGGTTAGGAGCCAGAGGTCCCAGATTGCAAGAGGGATGTCCAACTGCCGGTTTAGGCCAGATCCCACAGCGATTGAGCCTAAACTGGCAGTCAGACATTACCCGAGGGTGTCCCAGATTGGAGAGGGTGCAGGCCAGGCTGAGGGACCCCCCCCCCCGTCCCGTGCACAAATTTTGTGCACTGGGCCACTAGTATTTCGATATAAAGCCATGATATTGGGTAACATCACCCAGGGAGTGAGAGTAGAAAAGAAAAGAGGCTTAAGGATTGAGTTCTGGTGACAAGCCAGCATTTAGAGGCAGGGAGGATGAAGAGGGGACATTACTGAGGAGAGTAAGAAGTGTGCCCAGTGAGATGAGAGGAAAGCAGGAGAATGTAGTATCATGTTCCCAATTAACAATCTTGACTGTTTCCACAGAACTGCAACTGGGGATGAGGAAACAGGGCTAGTGAGTTAGGCAAATTAGCCAGGAGGTTGTTTCTGTTTTGCTGCTTTAATTTCAGAGTTAATGACAGTTTCTATTTTACTTTTTTGGAACTGATCTATTTTTATCAGACTCTTTTTTAGCAAGTTGTTACTCTGCCTGTAGAAGGTCTTAATTAACTACTTTTAAACATAAATTGTACCAATTGCTTTGTGGACTTTTTCTTAATGTATGCATGTTGCTAGAATTTATACTCCTCAGGTGGTGGGACATTGAAATGAAATTAAGGACAGCCCTGGGTGATGCGGCTCAGTTGGTTGGTCACTGTTCCATGCACAGAAAGGTTTCGGATTTGATTCCAGGTCAGGGTACATGCCTGGGTTTCAGGCTTGAGCCCTGGTAGTAGGCTTGCAAGAGGCAGCTGATGTTTCTCTATCTCCCTCTCCCTTCCTCTCTCTAAAAAAATTAATAAAAATATTTAAAAGGAAATTCAGGACACAAACCATATGATGAAATAATAATAAAAATAAAATAGACTAAGACCTATTAAAATAGACTAAGATCAATAAAGTTATCAGGACTTTTAATTGTGTTTTAGATATTCCTCCCAATAAAGCCCAGCTTTACCAACAATGGAAAAGATTTCTTTAATTTCAAATAGGTCTTTTAACAGCTGAACATAATTTGAATATGTAAATTAAAATATTTTTTAATGGAGGACCTAGAAATTTTCCTGGTAGATAACCTGCAACCCAGGTATGTGCCCATGACTGGGACTCGAACTCACGACCCTTCCGCACATGGGGCCCACACGCTAAACACTTGGCAACACTTTCCAGGCTCACACTGATTCTTTACTGCCTACAGAAGAAAGGGTAAATAGGAGTATATTGTTGGAATTGGTTGATGTGAAGGAAGGCAGGTGTCATTCTGAAATTTTCTTTTATGGCTCATCTCCTCTAAGACCTAACTATGGGAATTTACGTGGCTTGATTTACAGCAACAAATCTTTTAGGCAGTGGAAAAATGGATATAATTAGACTTTTGTTTAGGTAACATAAATATGCAAGTCTTCAAGAGGAAAGGGTCTTTGCCTCTCATTTTCATAGTGCCTTATACATAGTACACAGTGTTTAATAAGTGAATGAATATAAATTTTACATATGAGTCAACAAATTGTGTGGTGACGAAAATACTCTTAAAGCATTCCCATGGTAGCCTGGATTCAGTCCTGCGGATATTGAAGTCTGGTGGGTGGGATTCCTGCCACAGGCCTTTGTTTAGCTCTCTTCCTTGGTGCCTCTGTCTATTTATTTTTAGCTTTGGTGATCGTGGGTGTGGTTTCCAGAAGAGCTTAGAGACAGTGGAGACCATGGTCTAAATTCAGATACACAATATAGTTGAGACTGATGGAGTATCATTATGCATTGAAGAAACCAAGGCTGAGAAGTTAAGGGCCTTCTCAGAGATCACATGACCAGCAGCAGACACCAGAGTGGAGCCCACTTGTTCTACTACACTATGCTCCATAGTTATTTTATATCAGCTCAGAAAAAAGATGAGTTTGGATTTGAGCAAGAATTTCAGGCTTACCCTTATTCCAGACTGAATGTCATAGTCAAGATTGTTTTCTAAAAATGATGGCCAGGTGTACAGGCCCGGCTGGGGTAGGAGCGGCCCAGATCTGACCACCATAGGTAATGCCTCAGTTGTTAGCTTTGTTGACATCCTTGGGCCCAAATAGATTATGTTTGGGAGTTTGGAAGGCCTGGCCTAGTAATTGGGGTTTGGAGGAGTAATGCAAACATCAGCCTCTATTCTAATGAGGCCAAAGAAAATTCAAGTCTAGTTGCTGTGGTCTAG